GTGGATGAAAATATTGGGAATAGAAATTCTCGCTTTGGAGCATGTTTTTTTTTGTTTGTTTGTTTATTTGTTTGTTTTTGGAACAATTTCATATTTTCAATATTTTAATTGAGTAAATATTGTTGGAATTAAAATGGATGAAATTTTCATTTAATGCTTCTCATAGACAGATTTACGGTTTACTGATGGTACATAGATAAATAGGCTTACTGGGTAAAGACTGACTGATCCCTAAAATGAGTAGGTACTAATACACAAGAAGAACCTATTAGGGTTCAATCAATTTGGGTTTTTGAAAATCAAAAATTGATTCCAGTTTATTTTATATTTCTATTTTGTGCTGCTATTTAACAACTTCTTTGATTCAGTTTCTAGTATCTATGTACTAGTGCTATATTTTTATATTAGCATATATATATTATATAGCAGTGGTGGAAAGTACATGGAAAGTACTATTTACCTGTAGAATTTGCACTTTACTCGAGTATTGTCCATTTTATGCTACTACAACACTTCAACTTCACATTTCAGGGGAAAACAAATATATAAATAGAACCAATTTTGTGTTGCAGAACTTTAGTTCTTCCTCTTTCCTCTCACATTTATCATCTCAGGATCCCTCAGACTTAAGACTAAGGAGGGTGACCAATTCCTTGAAATACCTATATACGTACTTCCACCTCAACCAGCTTCAGTGCTTAAATGTTGATGCATCAGTATTAGCAGCATCAGCATTATACTTTTTATACATTATATCTAATAATGTCATATATAATAATATCAGTTACAGTTTCAATTTATCTGTAGAACAAATGCTTTTACACACTTTTACTTAAGGAAGATGTGGGACATTCACTTGTAATGGAGACTTTTTATATTAAAGTCCAGTTAGAATTGTACTTTCACTCCCTGATTTATGAGTACATCACAAAAGATATTGAGTGCTTCAGGTGTTTCAGTGTACCTCTGGGACTTTTGGCTTTTAATTAGTATTTATAAGCATTACTTGACATTCACGCCGACCTTTTCATCACATTTCCAATGCTTTCTGTCAGAGTCTGTGACTGACTGTTTCTGTAAATTCTGACTTTAACAAGTAAGAACCTCCCCACATGCTGTATGAAAACATCAGAAAGCGATGGAACTTGGCAGAAACACAGTCCAGCTTGTATTGAGTGTGATCGCCCTCGTCTGGTTAGTAGCATGAACTGCCTGTGTCTCTCAGATTGCGGTGGCTGAGAGAATGAGTAAGGTCATGAATTGGACTCAGTGCCAAACGCCCCTTTTCCCACTGGAAGAGCAGATGGCAGCTCCCCAGTGCACAAGGCAGGGAGATGCTGCCACCAGACGCTCCAAGCAGGGTGTCAAAACACACACAAACACAGATACATTAAAGTTCTTGTGTGCACAGATGGAGATGCACACGCACACTTGTCTGTCCAGCACTGAGCTGATGAATACAGAAGCTTGACCTAAATTATTTTATTTTTCCCTTCTGAGGGTCAAAATGTCTCTTGACCTCTGTTATTACTGCAGCGATACTGAAGCAGATTTGTGCCCTACGTACTGACATCAGCGTTTATACATTATGCATAAATATTAGCTGCCAGGGTTGATTTTCACACAGCTCTGCCTAATAAAACCCATATTACCTGCAGTGTCTTCCAGGCATGTGTCATCCTGGTGACTTAAAACTAAAACGTTCTTATTTAGAGGGCAATGTTAGAATCAAAACATTTAGTAAAAGCTGCATTAGCTGCCCAGTGGACACACTGAACCCACACTGAACACTGAATTCAATGTTTCCATTATTTGACAGAGCACTCTGAAGAAAGCACTGTATAAATATGTAAAACAAATATATATATATATGAATATGCATTTGAAAGAATTTGACTAAATCTCAAACAATGTTTTGGAATTTCATTGTTGATACAATTTGAAAAAGTAAATGAATAATTATAATAATGTTTTAATAGAAATTAATGGTTTTGAGGGCCATTTGGTCACTAATATAAAACCATGGAGTGTGTCTTTATGCATTAATCAGCACCTTAAATAGCTTCATTAAAGCCAGTGCACTGGAATATTCAACCACTTAATAATATAGAACATGTCAATTATAAGACAAATTCACAGTATGTTCTGTGCTACAAATCCTTAATTAGAGTGATGGAGAGGCCATTTCTAGGTCATGTCCAATAAAATACAAAAGTCCCACACATTTATCATTTCTCTCATAGCTCTACCTGACCTGTGTTTTCTCATTTTAGAGTATACTAATCTATAACACAAGAGCGTTAACAAAAACAACAACATTTTGTAAATGTACTAAAGTGTTCAAAACTTTTGACTGGCAGTGTACAGTTTACAATCCTGCCTCCATTAATAATGCGACTATCACTGTCATTTTGAGCCATACTGGTTGACACATTGAGGAGGGTATGCTAAGCTTAGCTGAGTGGCGTGTCACGACAGGATATGAGGCAGTTAGCTAATGTGGTGTAAAAGGATTTAGAGGATTTGACCCTATCAGCAGAGATGACACTCAGAGAGGCTCTGTTAATGACACTAAATGAGTCTGTGCCTGCAGCATGCTAATAATGGTGGCATGAAAGCCAGGCTTATAATTTATATGGAGATTTTTTGCAAATAGCTAATTGCTAGAAGTGTGTTGAGGTAATGTGTGTGTGCATTATGTAAAAGCAAGGTAACACACAAAACATTTTAGTACCTTCTCTGAAAACAGTGAATCACAATTAATTCGCAATGTGCTGTGAATTAAGTGTAATCTTGTAAGTGAGCTGCTATGCAACGTCTCATCACTTATTGTCTGCACTGCAACATATAATTATTTTATTTTCTCCAGATTTCTGGCTCTCTGAAGGTGAGCACGGACACTTATAGCAAGAAACCTCCCCTACAACATGTTAACAATGTTTTTTAATAGGACCAGGCTGAGATGTTTTGGGGGGACTGTAGACTAGTTTCCAATTTGATTTTTAACTTTTAGAAATGAAAGCCACTCACTGCAAGGTTGACAGTTCAAATAACCTGCCTCAACAGGGAAGATATAAGTGAGAGAAATGAATGGGCAATAGTTACTCCTCCACTCAGTATTAGTTTATGTTTCATCTCTAGTTCATCTCTCTTGTATTTCTGCAATAAGCCTGGTCAGAATCAATGTGAGGAAGTCATGGTTAGACTGCCAGCCCCAAGGACACCCCATAGCAAAAAGTACAAGTCTGAAGTTTTGCAAAGCGGCTCCAAATGAATTTAAGGTGTCGTTGGCCAGCCTAGATGACTTCCTCTGGATAAATTAAGAATAAATGTACCGTGGTGAAGATGAGATTGAGTTTTTAAGCACTTTATCAGTTTTCTTTATTGGAACTCTGCAGGGCTCTAACAACAAGATGTATCATTCATCTATCTTTCATACATCATTCTTTTTTTCAGTCCAATCTAAATCTAATATACTGCCTGCTATCGTGCACTACAGCCACTATTTATCAGTCTTAGAGAGGAATTTGAGAGAAAAATGTGGTGTAACTATATTATATATCCACCAAAACATGTAAAGAGTGATTTGAACATTGACATTTGAGTTATGGGGGCTGATTTAAACATGTCAGCTGCCAAGACTAATGATAAATGACAGATTCAGGAAACATTTGTGATAGCTGAAACAAGCAGCAAAGGGCCCAAAATGCTCTCTGGTTAGGTCCACATGCTTTAGTAAAGGAAAGATTCCTTTCTGCGGCTTCAGACAACCTGTAGGCCCAAAGAAGAACAATAGAAATCTATTAAACTTCATTCACTTCACTACACCAACAGAGACAAGGAAGCAGCATACATACTGTTAAGTTTTGAATAGTGTTTCAATAATTGTCCTGCTGGACATAAGATTTAAAGGTACCTTAAAGGGCCTTTAGTCCAGCAGGAATGATAATAAATCACAAATTTCACTATACTTTATTTATTCATATATTTCTCATAAACCAGAATTGCAATTAAGGAAGAGAACAGACCAACTGGTTTAATGGCAGCTCCCTGGCATTCTTTTAGAGATTATTTTTCTGTTGGTGATTATTCCACACTGGATAAGGAGCCACTTATGAATATAACTGGCAATGCATAAATAGCATAAACATTTCTATTACCTTTGGTTTTCCTTTACATAACATCTCTCATCCATTATCATCTCATTTTCCATGACAAGTACCACCCTTTCTGCCTTGCCAAGCAGGGCATTGGCACAGCTTGACAAGGAGGACAAGGAGGTGTAGCTGCCAGCTCCTGCAACCCACCACCCACTGGTCAAATCCTCTTTACTGGTTTCACTATGACAGTCTGCCCACCATCCTTGGCTCACCATGCAAAGATAGGACAGGAGCTCTGTGACCAGCGCCAGGGATACCCACTGGAGGTGGGAAGAGGAGAGAGCAGTAACAGAGGAGGAAGAGAGAGACCGAGAAACAGATGGAGTAATCTGCATAGAAAGAGTGCTACAAGCTGAAAGAATGGGTTCTCGCAGAGATTTGGCTGTTTTGTAACACAACTAACCTGTAGGATGTGTGGAGAGGCAAGTAGGGGCAGCAGGTACATTATTTAGACTTTTTTGTTTGCTTGTTTGTTTTCTTATGAAAGGGCACAAAACCAATTCTACGCAAACACAATTTGTTAAATAGTGCACATGAATGGAAATGTTTGTGCGGTGTGAATTACAGTTCTAATCCTTTCCTATCCTCCGTGATATTTGTTTACTAACTGCTGGCATGTACTGTAGCCTCACATAGCTGTGGAGGTGTCTGGAGTTACAGATGACTGCCAACAATTGTTCATTTTCCCATAATGTATGCCCTGGCCCACTGGCTACAGCTCATCATTGTCCCACACGTTGTTTTTCAATCCACTTCCAGCACTTTAACACAGATGTTTGCTGTGGGAAGCAATGGAAAGCTGGTTCATTCAGTGCACAGTATTTCCCCCACAGCCCTACAGCTAGCCTGTTTGTTGTCTGGTTTGGCACATAAGTGGGCTGAGCTTATAGGCACTGTTGATCTTGAATGTGTCTGTGTCTAGTTTTGCGTGTTTAGTACAGTAGTGTAGTATATTAACCAGTTCTAAACATCTTTCCTCTCTGTTGTGTTGTGTCTTCCTGTCCTGTTTTTCCCTGTTTTCTAGGAATCACCTTCAAGGTCATCAGTCATCTCTACTTGGCCTGGGGGTCTTCTAAAGGGTTGGACCTCCTCGCCACCATGAAAGGGTTGGGGACCAACCGTAACAGACACCTGTCTGACTCCTGTGACCCTTCCGCAGGCCATCCAGACACCCTCTACTCTCAGAGGACCAGCACCCTGCCACGCAGCCCTTACCTACTGAGCCCCACTATGGACCACTATGGCACCATGGACCCCAACCTCTATCAATCAGCCAACCAAGGCTCCCTCCCACCAGACTGCATGCTGCCCCTCAACAACCAGCTGTCCAACAGCAGCACATTCCCCAGGATTCACTACAACTCCTACGACCAGTCTGACTTCTCCCCACCAGGGGACAGCATCGGGGGGATAAGCACAGGGACCATGGGCACATCCATGTCTATGGGTATGGGAACGGGCATGGGCATGGGCATGGCAGGGCTGAGTGGACGAACACCTATGATAACAAGTGGCTCAGCAACTATATCGCATCACATGACCAAGAACCAGGCACCACCAAGTCTTCTGGAGTTCGATAAGCAGCTACCTGGAGGCCGTGACGGATTCAGCACGTTGCAGTTTCATAGAACGTCTGCTGTTGCTGCCGCCAAACAGCGCACAGACAGTCCTGGTCGCATCCGTTACATGCTACACTCAGTGCAGAAGCTCTTTGCAAAGTCCCAGTCACTGGAGAGCCAACACATGAAGGGAAATGTCAATGGACGCTCCACTGGCAGTGGTGGAGGCTCATCTGGCACAGACGACGGGGGGAAGCAGAATCGCAGATCTAAAAGTAAAGATAGGGGTACAAAATCAGAAGCCACTGCCAAGCGACGACCACGCTCCAACATGTCAGGCTATTGGAGCTCAGACGATTTGGACAGCAGCGATTTGAGCAGCTACCATAACACCATGGCCATGATGACTCTGGGGCGTCCAACTGGCCACGACAGCCAGGGGGGCCAGAGCAGATACATCCACAGTGGCTACAACACTATCAGCTCCTCTAAAAGCAGCAATGACATGAAGTATCAGGCGCTTCCTGTGCCTGCGGATGGAGGAGGTGGTGGACTAGGTGGAACAGGAAGAATGGTAATAAATGATAATGACTATATGAAAGGAGGGTCCTGGTCAACACTGACCATGGGCCAGCCGAGACAAGTAATCCAGAAGGGCTCAGCTACTCTGGACAGGTCCATGCTCAAGTCCAAATCCTGCCAACAGGAACTAACCTGCAACTACCTACAGGTTGGACGAAGGGTGAGTAGGCCCGAAGTGAATGTAGTGCTTACAAAATATAAATGTATCCTTACTATCAAGAGCACTCATACAGTGATAAGGTAATGACATATATTGTGAAAAAAAACTAAAGACTAATTTTATCTCCTTATGCTGCCTGTAGGGTGATTGGAGCAGCACATTAGGGCGCAGCGGGGGTGCCAATGAAATCCCATGTCGCCGGATGCGCAGTGGTAGCTATGTGAAGGCCATGGGAGACATGGAAGACAGCGACGACTCAGAGGGAAGCCCCAAACCCTCGCCAAAAACCGCAGCTCGCCGCCAGAGCTACCTCAGGGCTACACAGCAGTCTCTGAGCGACCAGCTACCCCCACGCAAGTAAGACAACAGACTGAGCTTGATAAAGTGTTGATTTTCAGGTAACACCCAGACACTCATAAGAACACACAGTTATAAATACTGATTGGCACAACCTCTCAACAATCAAAAGAAAATAAATTAGTCCCACCCTCATCCTTTTCTGGGTGTACTGAAAGGAAACTGTCACACCCAGCCTCACCATGCCAGTATGCAGGAAAAATACAAATGCATACAACACACACACACACACACACACAAAGTACACACAGTCCATGGTGCGCTTACTCACGCATAGAATTAAGTGGTGTCAGACTCCCTGTTGTCCTCCACATGCCAGCCTTACTGCCGTCAGTGATTTACCTTCCCACTGTTGGACCCACAAAGCATCAGTCTAACTAAGAGGATACAGACAACATTAGTGCATAGTTACACATATGACACTGACTTTTGTTTCCACTCAACCAGTAAATAACCACAAATCTGCCTCATCTCTCCAACTGACTGGCACTCCGACTCACTTGTCTTTGAATTACATGCTTTCTGGAGCAGATACATTGGGCAATATGTGATGCAGGTGCAGTGGGACATAGCAGAGTTCAGTGTTCCCTTTCATGAAATGAAAATGAAAATGCATTCACATTCTTTCATTTGTATCTAAGGCTATGTTAAACTAATTTAAGCAAGACAAAACTGCCATGTTTTGTAATCTCTACTCAAGAAGGGTTTCACACATTTGCAGAGGAACAATCACAATGCCCATAAGTGGTAAAAGGTTTTTGGCAGCAGTTACATCTGCTGTCTAAGATAAAATAGTTTCTGTGTTTCTTAGTTTCCACCCGAAACGACTGTCAGCACGGATATGCACAAAAAAATGATGAAATTTTAATGTTTCAGTATATTTTTGTCTTTTGCCACAGATTTTCATGCTTTGACATACAATAAAATAAAAAAAATAAACTATACTTTAAAATTTCAAGAGCTTTAATGTATGTAATATATAATAAATATATATAATAATAATATAATAGTATAATAAACTATTTTTGATATTAATGGTTGTGACAGTACCTTCTATAAAGCGGTGCTTTTGGGGATGCAGTGTCAAAATATCGCTACACACTACAATGGGGATTTATCTGGTTGGATCAGAGACGGAGAGTTGATGTAAGAAAAACCAAGAGGGCGTCATCCTGAGAAACACAGACAGAGGCATACCTGACATATACACCTCCACATAACATTTCAAATCCCTTTAGTCTATGTTTAGAAATTTAAGGATTTATTCTTTCCTAAAGCGTGCTTGAATGACTAACCCTACTCCCCCTGCCAATCCCTGACCATGCTACCCCTCGCTCTCCCGGTCTGCTCCACCCTGATTGGCGTGAGCAGCAGAACCCTGGATTACACCTTGTTGCAGGGGGAGCTGGATGCCCTGTGGTCTCCACTCCACAGTGTGTCCTCTCTGCACCAGCTGGGCAGGTCAATGAGCAGGTTAGTGATAGGTCTGTAAGCCACGTCTCAGGGGTGTGGTGCAAAACGCTTATGTCTGATTGGATCATTTACAATCAATGACTTTGCACTGCCCCCCTCAGATGTCTTTAAAGTTAGTGGCAAGTCCAAATGCCAAATTCATACCCTGCTGCCAACAACTGCCAGCCACCCTTAAGCTTGTAAATACCATCTGCCCAGTGCTTTTAGGTGAAAAGTAGCTGAGTTTGACACTATTCAAATGGGGGAATGAGGGGGACATCTGTGACCATAGACCATGGCATGGCAGCTTACTGCTATGTAACTATCACTGTGTGCCAACAAAGAATATGTAAAAACATGACTCTAAAGCTGCTGTTTGAGTAAACCTAAACCTGTTCTTTGTCTTTGGCACCATGATGGCACAGAGAGCTGTGTACATGCGTTGCCTGACATCACTGGCTTTGCATGCTCAGATGCTACAATGATTGATGCTCAAATTAGATAAAATTGGAATAGATGAGATGTGGATTCATGGTGGAAATGAAAGGGATAACTTGAATAACAACATTATCCTTCTTTTATCTCTCTTTCAATTCCTGGTTTTGCTGATCGTTCATTTTCTTCGCTGATCCACGTTTCCCTTCCGCCTCCTTGTCATCATTACCATCAACTGTTTTTTCATCGAACATGTCCTCATGCACTCCTGAAAACGCCTTTAATTTACCTCCTTATATTTCATATCCTTAATACATCTCCTTTATTTTTTTTTCCCTCTCGTCTTACTCCCCTTTCCAGCTGTCTTCCATCTCTCCGAGAGCTCTCCAATAATCGCAGCCTGGACAACCTAGACTGCATTGGGGGTACAGGCTCGTCTTTGCCAAACTGGGATGATGATGACTTCAGCCAGGCCTGCAGTACCTTGGGCAGACGTAGCTGCATCGCACAGGTCAGTACCTGCCCTGAGAAGACAGACAGGGATGAATTAAATGTGGGATTTGTCAGCTGTCAGAGGCCAACCAATGAATTTCCGTTTCTCTGTGTCTGTCTGCGTCTCTGTTTCCCTCATTAGCTCAGATATTTTTCTAATAAGTTAAATGCGTTTGTACTTGCTCGAAATTTACATCACTTAGCTCCAAGCAAATTTCTGCTTTCAAATCACCAGTGAGTTTCAAAGACCCCTTTGTCTGCCATGAGCTACGAGCACTCATTTCCGTAGTATAATTAGCATTTTCACAGATATAGCCTGAATGACTGACAAAATGAGCTCCCAGTGAACAAAGAATCCTTATTTTCGAAATGTATCTCATATTAATGTTATGAACCTAAAAGCCAAATGAATGACATTGGTAGTTTTAAGTCTAATTCATCTACTTACATAAGAGCTATTAGCCTCCCACTGACAAGGTCACTAAGATGATGAACAACTATGCAAAATGGCTATGATCTTTTTCAATAAACTAGTCAAATGAGGCAGTGCAGGCTATTAGTACAGGATTTGTACCCAATCTCTGACAGGTCACCGCATTACAACAAATTCGTCCAATATATGAAATTATTGCTTCAATTTGCTTGCACAGCAGCATACCAAACAAATTTATTATGCATTATAATTTAGACTTGTTGAGGTCAAGTTGTATAATTTGAAACTTTTTCCCATAGCAAAATTAATTTGAATCAGAACAAGTGAAAATCACCAATACCCAACATTTAATATTTAGTCTCAAAAAGGTGTGGAGCTGTAACCACCAGATTCTCTGCTTCGTGTTCTCTTGTGCCACCTCTCTTGCACTCAACAGTCACTGAACCATCAAAATATCTTTGCTACAAACACATTGTGTCTGTCGATCAACAGAATATGAAACCCATCATCCATGAGGCTGGTTCTCACACTTCAAAACAAGTCTCAGAAATGGCTGACTTTTTATGAGCAAGCAGTTGCTGCATAAAACACACTAAAAACTTTTCAAAGTGATGTCTCTTGCCTTGGCATTTCTTTTATTTTCTGTAAGTTGACAGTTCTTGTATAGCAGGCTTTGTAGGAAATGTCAAAAAATGAAAATGATTCTAGAGATGAAATGACAGCTCAGAAACCCATCATGAAGTGAAGCAGGGGGCTGGTTTTACTGGGGTTGAAGAACACTGTGTTCTTCCATATTTAGCACTAATTGTGACTAACTGTCAACTTTGGACCTTTCTGGTGTCCTTTTATTGCATCCCATCAAGTGTGTATCACCAATGGACAGGGCCCAGTGGGCAGTAAGTGGTCACCTCTGGCACTCGGATCAGTTACTGTGATCAAAATGAATCCACTCATACAGTACTGTTCTCCGTTCTACACCGCTGCTACATCTTTACCAATCTTGACCTTTCCTTCCTCCAGCTACGGGACCTGGAAATGAGTCATCATTATGAGGACCGCAGCTCCGAGTCCACATTCAGAGATTCCCGTTCCCACTCTCAGGACAACTCAGAGCCTCCAGACTTGCCCATGCCAACATGCTTCCGATCACGCAGCCACAGCTACCTGAGAGCCATCCAGGCTGGCTGTTCCCAAGATGACGACACAGCATCCATAGACTCGGGCTGCTCACCGCCTCTGACTGACGCCACTGTTCGCACCTACAGCACCAGCACCGGTGAGTCACTGGCTAAAGTGTGCATAAACCATATAAAGTGGGGAAATAGTTCTCCTGCAGTGTCTTGTGTTGCCAAACTGAGATCTAAATGATTTATAACATACACAATGTATATAGTCTGTTTTGGTTACTTATTTGACGATTAAAAATCTTAAAACTCTAAAAAGTTGTGACCCCTTTTCCAGAGGGATTCAGACACAGGCCAAATTCTTTCTTTGATTTGTATTTACCATAACATTACTTTGAATGCTCTTCATAGCCATGGTCCTGGGTGGGACACTAGTCCTCCAACAAGCACGCACCAGAATTTTTTAGCTCAAATGCAGCCTCTTTTGCCCATGCTAGACGACCTTCCTACACAGTGGAAGACATGGAAAGAACAGTTTGGCTCTTACCTGATAGCCACTGGCTTGGACAAAGCCCCAAAGGAGAAACAGCTTGCAATTTTTCTACAGCGTTTGGGGACAGACAGACCACGCATCCTACCCACACACACAGGTAACAAATTGAAACCAGCTCTTCTACCCTAAAAAGATGTTTATCAATTTACCACTTCAAGGACTACAAGAAAAGAACAACTCACTGTCAAGACAAACTTGATCAAAAAGAGATACTATTTTCCCTCTCAGCTGTTGAACAGGCATTTATGACATTCTAGGTCACACTGTATCCCTGTGGAGTTTTACAGGACAAGGCAGCACAAGAATGCACTCTGCAATTTGCTACCTTGATGTTGAATTTGATACAGCAGAGGAATTGTGAATGTGTGTGATGACACACAAAAGGCAGAGAAGCGTTGTACTGGTTGTTGACATCTGACTGCTCCCTGAGTTCAGAACTAGAGTGGATATACAGTATGTGCATCTGCTTGGGTTATTATTACCACAGAGCATCCACATCGTGGCGCTCTTCACCACAGACCGTGGAGCGTGTGCTGCCTTCATGTGGATAGAATTTTTCACTTTCGAGAAGGATATTGCTAAAAGACAAGTTATAGACAACATAAAGCTGATGAGAGAAAATAAGCCTTGCAAATGTTCCCTCTTTTTTAAAAAAAGTCTGCCTCTGGGGGTTTTCATGATTTTATTTGGTGTTATGCAATATCAACAGTTCATTTTGGTGGTTCAACGGTGTGTCTTGTGTGTTCAAGTCAAGTGGGATATATTAGACTTCAACGTGTATCCAATGTTTTTTCAAGTTCTGCACCAGTGCATGCCACTATGCCAGGGTAAAGTTTGGTTCCTGTGCAAGGAGAAGATCCTAAGGACAGAGAGGACTTCTGCTGAATGAGACAGACACAGCTACTGACACCACAGACGATGGAGTTCTTAGGAAATAGTAAAAAAAAAAATAAATAAATAAAATAAAATCAGATTATTAATAATCAAACTGTGGAGATTGAGTGTCCGAGGCGCTCATGAAGGCATCAGCAGACACGCCACCACGCCTCCCTCGGGCTTAGAGACACAAACAAAAGGCAACCAAACCCGGCTTTTCTTCCCCCACGCCCTGAACAGCCGACGGTGCGTACCGACTGGTTACAGCTGCCTTGAAAATATTTCAAGTTTTAAGTCAAGACACCGTCGTGTTGTTTATGTGTCTGCTCCTGACAGCAGGGTAAGTATTTTAACCGACTGCTGGGGGCGGTTGTTATAGTAATAAGTGCTTAACTGAACAGTGTTTTCCGTTACTAACGTTAGTAGCCGTTAGCTTGTTTGGTGACTGGACCAAAACCGTTGAACACCGAAACTCTCTCGGTTTGTCTATTCATTAACTCTTCTAGCACCCGGTATCCGATAGTACATTACCCTGAAGCCACGGGTTTACATCACTGTGTTGTTGTTGTGTGTGGTGTGTGTGTGGTGTGTGTGTGTGTGTGTGTGTTTGTTGTCTGTGTGTGTGTGTCTGGGTGTGTGTGTGTCTGTGTGTGTGTGTCTGTGTGTGTGTCTGTGTGTTGTCTGGTGTGTGTGTGTGTGTGAGTGAGTGTGAATGAATTTAACACAGTCTAAACTTCAGCAGGTGTCACTGACCATAAACTTGAGAAGCGTTTACACTCCAACCGTTTCATTTGAAGGATCTGTTCAATGAAGAGTCAAATGCAGATGTTTAGTAAAATTAGGAGAATCAGACCTCCAAGCTCTGGAATAAATAACGTTATCCCATGGTGCTTTCTTTGTGCCTCTAACACTGCAGTGTTTTACGGTCTATGAGGCCTCCAGTTGTGCTGTTCGATGCACTCTTTACTGTATGAATTATTGAGTACAGCCTCATGTGTTCAGTACAAAGTGCTCTGTTGCTGATCAGATGTTCCCACTGTGTGTGTGCGCTCATGGCTGTGATGCTCAACCATGGGAGTCAGGATAAGTGGGGTGCTATTTAAACCACATGAGGACAGGTTACATGTAGTCTGGAGGGTCCTTTAGCTGCCCTACAGTTAAATGCATCCATGAGCTGGTTTTTTTTGTTGTTGGTATTTTCGCTGAAATGGAAAATTGGCCTTCACAGGGGATTATTTGAGGGCTGTCCCACTTTTGTCCCTGAGTCCTGTGTATTGCAACATGGATTAAATCCCATTTTGAGGGCACGTTTAATAGAAAAAAATCCCATGCAATGTTGTAGGGCTGATGTTGAGAGCATTTAATGTGATAATTCATTTTAATGTTGGCTTTCGTGACAAGGGAGTGGTGCTAGCTTCAGGCAGTGTCGTCTGTGTCTTGTGGCTGTTGATTGATTAAACAATACAGATGGGTCGACTGGCAGGCGGCAGGCAACTTGGCAAGCAATACTAAACTGTTAAACAGAGCGTCACAATCCACCTTTTGTCTTTCATTGTTCCTGCTTCTTCTTCAGCTCCAACTGACCACAGAACGGCACCACCTCACCCAGTCAGCTCTAAATGTATATTGTTGCTGGTCAAGTAGTTCCTCTGGTGTTACAACGCTAGAGAAAGCAAGACTTAGTGTGGCTGCATCTGCCCTACATTTATAGAGAATGTTTGACCGGTCGTTGGATACAGCCACCACTTTACTTGCCCTCAGTTTTATCCCCCACACTGGATTAAAGATGGAAGATCCATCCCCAGATTGGATCAGGGGATTCGTCAGTGAATTTCTGCACTCTAATGAGCCCAATAAGTGGACAGATCCTTTAAAATGAACAAAGCTAAACATTTTAAACCAATGCCTGGACTGGAAGGACCTTTTTTATTATTATTTTTCCATGTGTGTCTCAGTTTGCTACCTGTCAATACAGGAGAAATGCCTAACAGACGTCCTGTGATAAAAAGGATTTTGAGGTCTAAAAAGTTGTGCTAGCAGCAGTGATGTCATTGTGGGAACTGTGGTTGGTTAATTATCTCTCCAGTCTTCCCAAGGCAAACAGTGAAACGCCATTAAAAGGGAGGAGACCGCTGTGTGGGTTCTGGCACGTTAAAGTTGACCAAAGTTTCTTCTCTTCGACGTTTTTCTCTTTACATTTTCGAGCATACAGCAAAGACGTAAAATGCTACCGTGCGTGGCTGATACACACTGGGAGCATTGGTTTTGTAAAGCCATGGGAAAACGTCTGGTCTGTGGAGAGCAGTCATGGGGTTGTTGGAAACAGTTTTCAGCTGCTGCAGCTTCTTCCAGCTAATTGTTTTCCAGCCTTTCAGATCCCATCTTGAACCAGGCCTCGCAGTGGACAACAGCACCACTGTCCAGATGGCCTGGAAACTGCAGTGTTCAGTGCCCACTCCAGATTCCACTCAGACATTTTGGCACAAAGCGTCTGGTTGTTTCTGTTGCTAAAGTCCCTTCTGTTGAGCGACCAGTAAGTTCTTCTGAGCAGCTCCTGTACACACAGTTCGGCTTAATGAAGTGGCAACAGTTTTTGTTCTGCGGTACTGATGACTGTGTGGATTTAGGAAGCGCTTTGTCAGCATTGGTACTGTTGGCAAAGATGTGTTTTATGCTTGCACAGCTGTGTATGTTTGTGTTGCTCAGCTCTGTACTTACTATCCATCTGTCTGTGTTTCTGCCATGGATGCATTTTCTGGCTTTATCCGGCATTTATCAGGAATCAGCTAGATCGCTATGTTTCATACCCTTCATTTATTTTTTGGCTGCTCGTGTCACTGCTGAGATCTGGGCAAAAGCGTTAGCTACAGCTGTAAACAGGAGGCAGTATGGTTAAACTCCAGACTTGTTTAAAACCTGTGTGCTCTCTTATGTGCTTGTCTTGTGTGTGCCATTGTTAAGCTGGCTCTAGTAGAGTCACTGCGTCCCCATATCTCCGCAATTAGGATATCTGATAGTGATATATCAGCCAATATAAGTTTTTTAATATCAACACATATGCAAGCATTTTTGATTAATTAATTAAATTTAAATATCTGGGGATTCTTGATTAAAAAACATGTACAGAGTGTAATATTTTAAAGTTGAACTAGACTGAATGTCATGCTTGCACCTCTTTGAGACTGTACACAGTCACAATGCAGGAGTTCAGCAGGTATAATGCTCACCATGTGCCCCATCTTAGTGTGCTAACATTTCCTTATTAACAGTAATTCTGACATACAAATTTCATGGCCCTCCAGTAGTTGGATAAATAAAGCGATACGTCAGTCTTACCCACCAGCACACCGTCATTTATTGACGTCCCTAGAGACTCTGCTTGTGTGGCTAAAAATAAACTTGTCATTGCTCTTTCGTTTCCATTTTAACTCAAATATCTTTGGCATTTGTCTACTACAGTTTCTTGTTCCCAACTGAACACAGAGTCCATATATTGGAGGTGAGCTAAAATCAGCAGATAATATTTGCCCGACCCATTTATTGTGTCCAGCTCTGCTACTTCATCTCCCGTCTAATCTCAGAGGCGGCCGTCACTTATGATTTCGGGGCTTGTTTTTGGTGCGTAAAGCAGATTCTGTGGTATTAAGACTTCAGGGTGAATTCTGTTCCCAATGACCAAAGCATAACGTGACACACACACACACACAC